CTGTTTGCTGCTCAGGCTCTCCCTGGCTGCTCAGCATTCCCCTGATTACACTCAGCTGGTTCCTATGCAACCGGACTCATTGGTTTCCTGTCCTATCCGGTTCCTCAGCCTGTACCTTCCGGTTCTATTTCATCCCTACTGACCGCCAGAGGGCGGTGCTGAAAGCACTGAATGTTCCTTTCGCGCATGCGCTGTTCAGCAATAATATCAACGGAGTCACACCTGTGACATATCGGATGATCAATCAGAGACAAGATGTCCTAACAGAGGTTTTGGTCAGCAGATTTGGGATGCTGACCATCTCCTACTCATAAAAACCCCTGAAAATCAACCAAAAGATTCTTCAACAAGCTGTTTAAGAGTCAAAGCCAGACTTTTACATACACTGACTCAAAAAGACACAACCATTTTTTCTCACTGTCTGAAGTTAAATCAAACCTTTCTTATTTTAGCTTAGCTACAATGGCCGAACTTATACAGTTGATAAGGCAGTTTCCTGGATATTGACTAAATGTATGTAAGCTTTTGAATTTGAGGAAAGTTACAAAAAAAAAAATGTTCTCACCAGGGTTTTTTCTATTTGACTTCAGACAGTGAAAAAAATGTGTGTCTTTTTATTCAGCGTATGTAAATATCTGGTTGCAGCTGTGTGTAACAGAGTGATAGAAGATGTAGCTAACAGGCTAAAGGTTCCAATGGAGACAGAGGTCACCGTACCTTTTTCAGGTCTTTCAGCAGGTTGTATTCATCTGCTACACCCTGCAGGTCACAAACGAATGTTCCATTCACATGTTCACAAAGTTCAACAAATATTGCAGTCTTGACTTATCTAGTGCTAAACAGAGCAAAAAACAAATAAAGCACCCTGCAAAAGCATTCCAACCTGCTTTTTGTGCTTTTTTTCTCATGCAGTTTTTATCTGTTGAGATTTTCTGTAATAAACCCAAATTAGCACATAGCTGAAGAGATTTTAAAGTATAACATTTAGAAAAGGATGGCAGGATGTATTTATCCTCATACTCCTTCAGTCTGATTCTCCTGAATACATCCCAGTATTCAGTCGAGTTTGCCTTCAGAAGTCACCCTCTGCTTGTTCAGTAAAAACTGAACACAAAATGTTCAGCAAAGACATTTTGTGTTCAGTTTTTGGGTCTGAAGCTTTCGCTACATCAGACCCACCTCCGGGCTCCGATTGGCTGTTTCTAGTTTGCGCTGGGAGAAGTCAGAGAAGTTTGATTCACAGAGTATCTGTCTCCTACCATAATGTCATGACACAGTTGGCAGCTTAAATAAATAAAAAAAAGTTTAACTTGACAATTTTGGCCCGTGTAACTAAAACGTTTGGACTCTCCTGGTGTAGCAAAAAAAAAAAAAAAAAACTAATAAAAGTTTGTTAGCATGGTGAAAAGATGTTAAAGTTCAAAGCGGAGGGGAGGATGGGTGAATACTTTTGCAAGGCACTAAATATGACTAAGAGCAAAAATAAAGCATATCAAAGTAGCTGAGGCTTTTCTCCTGGCCAGTAACTCTTTCTGGTTACCTGGTACCTCACGGAGCCTTCGTCCAGTGTGTCCAGCTCTCGGCTCAGTTTGTGCACCTGGTCACTGACGTGGTCCATCTCAGAACAGAGCCTCTTGTAGTGGGCCAGATCCGAGTCGAACTCTCTCTTGTACTGGTGGCGCTGCTCGTCTGTGGTTATGGCCGGGTACAACCTGGAGGCACACAGCAGCTGATTACTGCCGTTTTACTGTCACTGAACCACATGTTCATCAGCATCTCATGCGTGAAACAATAATCACTACAACAGCCAGTTAGCGTGACATAAACATTATAGTCATCATAATCTATATTGCTGTATTTTTGAACGATGCATGTTTCTGTCATTCTCTCTCTGATGTATCAGATGAAGCTGAGACTTTGTTGGTGTGGAGACAGCAGCAGAAACCTGACCCACCTGTACAGGTAATCTCTCTGGTCCCAGTCCAGCTCATTACCAGTGTCCCCTGAGGTGTAACCAGTTTCGTACTGGGACTCGGCCGCCAGCTGAGCAGCAGGAGTGGGTTCTCTGAGCTGTTTCTGCGGCTGCTTGTTGGTGCGATGAAGAGGAGGCTCCATCTTCTTGGTGTGATGAAGAGGAGGCTTCCTCACTCCGTTGGTCTCGTAGGAGCTGCTGGAACCAACCGTGGCTCTGTTGTTTTGGTACACAGGCTCAGCGTCGCGCCTGGCACTGTTCAAGAAACACAAAATCAACACAATAAGAGAAACATTTTCACACAGACTTTAACATTTCAGAACTTAGATCGATGTTTTATTTTATTTTTTTTTTCAAAGTGGGAGCCATGGGGTACACTGATGAGGAAAAAGAAATGCAAAAATAAAACAAAATAACAATAATCCCATAAATTTGTTAATTCTAAACTTTTCATCATAATTTTTGTTTTGTTTTTCAATTTTTTAAAATAGATATGTTAAAATGATTTACACATTAGGTAAGACATTTTTTGAAGGGGTGTGGATAAGATACAGTCATGAACATGAAGGAGTCTTCATGAATGTTAATTATTGTCATGACCGTCATTCGGTAAATAACATTTTAAAAAGTCGCTTTAAAACTTGCATTAAATGTGTCATTAATTACTGAATTACACTTAATGACGAGTCACAAACATTCATGAAGAATCCTTCATGTTCACTGTTATTATTTTATGACGGTGTCATATCAGTCTTTGCACGCCCCTTCAGATAAAGTGTCGCTAAACATTATTTCTGATGTTGATTTTCTGATTCGTCAAGCTGCTGTGCTCCTCCAGCTGGCGTAGTAAAGCAAGAAATAAAAAAGTTTATAAGAAAAAGACCAGAGGAACCGTTCAGCAGCCTGCTGCAAAGAACCATAAGAACTGTGAGAATAAAATACATTTTGATGTGATTAATACAAAATATTACACATTTTCTTATGACCAATCAAAAGAGGGGATTGTGATGAAGAATTGTATTTTCTGGTAATAATGTTACAATATGTAATAAATGATAATAAAACTCATGACCAGTAAAACCCAAAGCTGTGAGGCAGCAGTTATGCTAAATAAATATAGTAATCATTGAATAGGGAATAAAAAAAACATTTTAAAAGTTGACGTTTCTGTACATATTTTGCTGTAATGTCTGTGGGTGTGCAGAGGGCGTCCCCGCCAGGTCAGAGCTCTTTGGGGCCTGACCTGGAGATTAGACAAGCATCAGCTTCCTTGTGCCCTTTGCTGTGGCTGCCGCTGTTCTCCGCCCTCAAGTCGGGCGCCGCACGCTCTGACACCACAACGGTGGGCGCCTGCTGGGTGCTGCGTGCCTCCCCGACGTGGTTCACCTGGCAACAACATCCACAGAATGCACATTTTATCGAGATCAAGGAGGTGGAGGCGACGAAGCAGAGTGTCGGATCATATTCAGAGTTTTTAGTAAATAAAAATGGAAAGGAAAACTTATATGAAGCACAGGGAAACAGTGAGGTATACATAAAGCAACAGAAAACACTTGAGCGGAATAACAGAGGAGTGTAGGGATGGATGATCCAGCAGTGAGTGAAAGGAAGGAGTTTGAAATGACAGAGGAGCTAATCACAGGTGAAGGGATGCTGCTGGGGAAGGGAGCAAATGGAAAAATAAGGAAATCACAAAAGAATCATAATGTTTATAAAGTGATTATAATGTCAGTCACCCGGTAAAAAACACATTTAAAATAATGATTTACGCTCAAAGGCCAAATATGTTGTGTTACAGGTTATATAACTATGTAAACTATTACTGAACACATCCAAACTATGAAACCAAGCAAACAGAAATATGACTCATATTTTAGACCCTTTAAAGTTTTGTTCTGCATAAACCTGATATCATCTCAATGAGCAAAATGAAGAAAGCAGAAGGTTTTGCCTCATTTTGGGTTCAATGCTGCATAGTTCAACCCAGGAAGTCAGAAAGTTTGAACTCCATTCAGAAAAAAAAATCTGTTTGAACTTCCTCTGTTCCAATATGGCTGCTACACACAAAACAAGACTGAAAAGTGAAATCCATCTGTCCACTCTCCTCAACAGAGTGTGCAGATGTATGCAATCAATTTATTGCAGCTATTTTAGATTTTTCTTTCTCTAGATTTCTTTGTTTTCAGTCGACTTGAACCGCATGTGCAGAATGTCATATTAAAAGTGGAAAATGATTAATCATTATCTCACAGATACACCACAAAAACCTGGCAGTTAGAGAATATTTCATGCTTACAGTAGGACCAGAACGTATATATAACACACTCATTCACACACACAGTGATGCTGCACTGTTCACACCCTTCAATAACTATTCTTCCTGTTGGATTCTGTCATCTACTCTACCAAAGCTGCTTTTACTTTAATGAAGCGAGGCCCTTCTCTGTTTATTTTAACTAAGGGTCACTTTGACGGACACTAATATTCAAAAACCTGCAAGAATGCCTACAAGTGACGCATGAAGCTGATGAAACTGTTCACTAAAGCAGCACACAGATTGCTCTGAGCCTCCTCTGCTCCCTTTATTAATTCAAACACAGCGCAGAGGCAGTTCTGCTCCTCACGCTGCATGAATGCACACAGAAAGCTTGCAGTGCACAGAGTTGTATAATAGAGTGGATTATTTGGTGATAACCTTTCTTAAAACTCTTCTTTTCAATCATATTTGATATACATAGCTTTTGAACTGAATCTAACAGTTACTTGACTGTGTCTTGAAAACACATGGTTCTGCCCTTTAAAGCGTCTTCACTTCATGGTTCCTGCTGATCCGTTTAGTTCCTGCTCTGTGGCTCTGCAGGGACTTCCTGAAAGGCTTCAGGGTACAGAGTGGTGTCAACCTTTGAGCTGTACACTAAAGGCACCAAAAACATATCCTTGTATCTTTATGGGAAAAGATGCATTTAGGACTTATGTCCTTATGTCGTATAAAGGGAACGTTTATATGTTCTCTTCCTGAACCCGTGGTAAACTCTCACACAGCATGTAGCTGCTTTTTCGTTAACCAGAGAATTGCACAATTTGAAATTACGAAAATAAATTGGCATAATGGAAACATACCAATCTCGAAACGTTTTATGCCAGGATGAGGTCATTTTTTTCAGATGTATCAGAATACATGTATTTTGTATAAATGTAATTTTTGCGTCACACGAGAGACATGATCAACAGCCAGATATTACTATTGGTGGAAACAGTGAATAAGATGCCAGGTGGTGGTATAACTAGCTGCGTTCCCTGCAAAACTGTGTCCAAAAAAACACAATTTTGCCATTGTGTTTTTTGTGTTTCCACTAAATGTTTTAATATAGTATAATATTTATGATTAGGCAAAGCTGTGGGCTACTGGTCTTCTGCTCTCAAAACCATTTATGTTCTTGTTTAATAGAAACAGTATGTATCCTTTGCATTAATATTAGTCATCTGATGCAGCTGAAGCATGTATGTATGTTAAAAAGTTGTCTTTACAATGTACCAAATACAGACAGACACACAAACAAACACACGCACACACACCCAGCCTCACCCCCAGTGAAAGACTGTATGACAACTCTGACATGCATCTTCCTTCCCTCCAAACTCCCCTGAGTCTCACCTTAAATCCTCTCAACAAGCAGCCGAGCTAATTCACTGGAAGAAAACACAAAAACAAATCTCCCTACTGTGTCTGACAAGAGATGTGTGTTATTAGAGGGAATGTGGGTGCATCTCCATATCAGAAATGTACAAAGAAAAAATTTGCACTCACAAGAAAAAAAAAATGACAGTGTGGCGCAGTAAAACTGAAACTGCAGGAAGTAATTAAAAAAGGTTTTGGCTACAATGTAATTTAACACAGAGAGAAAAATGTCAACTTCAAAAGCCAGAAGAACTGTCTGCCTGATGTGATCTCCACTCTTACTGTGGAATGCAATATTAAAGACTTCTTGTGTTTGACCCATTTCTGCATGGCTGTGTAGTCAAACAGGGTTAGGGCTGATGTGGGAGGAAAGGCGCTTGTTGAAACCGATCCGATGAATGTGGTGTCACAGGATCATGCTCAGTGTGGGGAAAATAATCCAAGGAAGCTGATCCACTGGAGGGACAAATTTAGTTCACTTTCTGCATCTCAGACTGCCTACTACTGTATAAGAAAATGAGAAAATGAACTGTATTTCAGTAGATTGTGTCTTAGATTCAAATAGCAACATATGGGTTTTCTAAATTATTTTCCTTATTTTTCCCCTTCCTGTGTCTCTAAACCTTTTTCTGCTTATTTGAAACAAAAATGTAGCATGTGGAAAAAAATATATATTTTACTCAGGAACTGATCTGATGAGGAACCTTCACAAGTTGAATCATTTAGTGCCACCTCACTCTGTGGGAATTCACACAGCAACACAGATGCAACTCAACCCTTTCTATACATTATACATGAGAAATACATTATATATGCTTCCCTGCAAGGCAAGCGTCTTCACTGCGATACAAGAGAGCCCCCGAACAGGGTCTGCATCTCAATGGAGAGCCTCGACATGATGAGCAGGATGTACGCAGAGACCTGGCTGGATGAGCCGATTCAGTATACTCCTTCGCTTTGTCCCAGTCAGAGATGCTATAGTCACAGCACAATGGTACTATGATGAATTCTTCCCTGCTATCATAGGATCATAGGATAGACAGTAGAGTACCATCACCAGAAAGAGTAAAGTGTAGTTCACAAACAGACGCTACTTTGTTGAGATCCCTTTGATCAGAACTGCAGGTTTCCAGTCATAAAACAGATGTGTGCTCTCTACCTTCTGAGTAACAAATCTGAAGGTATTGTGGAGAATTATCCTTCTCCATGCTAAATTCTTGAAGTATGAGGTTGAAGGAGAGTCAGTGAGTTGAATTCGTGAATTCCATTTATTAATACCAAAATACAGCTGGTCCATCTGACATGCTACCTGTAGGAGCTGGCAGATAAAATGGCACCCAAAAACAGTTGGTAAATCCCTTTGTTAGCCTCTAGCTACACCCTAAAGAGGGCGTTCCCTAGTGTGTTATATCCCTTAACCATAGCTTTGAGGGCATTTCCTAACATGTCATTTTCTTTAGCTTTAGCTTTGTAACTAGCTAAAAGAGATAGAAGGAAAACACAGAATTATTTATTCTCAACAGTATCCTGAAGCCCAACAACTCACACATTACAGATGTACATGTAAACACATAGCCGCTTCCCTTAGCTGGCTGTCAACAACACAGTTAGCAAGTCTATCGATGTTTTTCTAAAATCATACGTGAAGATCAACATCATCATATTATTAATCAGGTATAGACACTGATGACATTCATATAAGATGAATTCCTGTAGAGTTTTAGCTGCAAAACTGTTCCTGATCTGGGTAACAAGATCTGACTGACACTTTCCAGCCCCAAAACAACACAAAACTCGCCCAACTCCAAAAAAAACTCCAACCAAAATCTCAATCTCTAATGAAATTTATGTTGATAGCACTATATATAGTTACAGGGTTTCACCCTGTGTATTATAATATTTACTTGCCCCCACACTGGGCTAAGTGTTGTCTGTTGTTATTTTAAATTGTTTTTATACAGCATGCGTCTTTGCTGTGCTCCAATGCACTGCTCTGCACACTTTACAGGCAGGGCGCAGTTGTTCCTGAAAGAGGAGTATATAGTTGATGCATTGAATAGGGCGTGAAGCCAGACACACACCAGTCACACCATCGGTGCCTCTGTGTGTTGGCTGCCACACGGGATTTCACAGCTACATCTCTGAGGTTCACTTCGGAGCAGATCGCGTGCACCATCTTTCACTCAAACTGGACTGTTTGGAAGGCGTCATACCAGAGCAGGATGACCTGTATCACATTTATATCAAATGCCAAAATTTATGTGGAGTTCTGTCTAAGATCTTAGATTACTGTGAACTTTAGTTCACTGCCTCAGTTAAATTCACAGGATTACTATGGGGTTATACCCGAGTACTCAACGTAGTGCACTTAAGACATGGTAGTGAAAATTATTAGGAACAGAAAAGCAAAACTGTGCTGATGAACAGATAAGCAATCCTCCCAGTCCTGATCCCACAGAGTCCAACCTTATGCAGGAAATGTTTGTGTGACAGATCATGAATTCCAGAAAGATGAATCTTGAACTTGTTATAATAACCATGCAGTCAGTTCCTTTATAAAGGGTTTCTGGCCTGTTTCCTATCATAAACACCATGAGTTGCAGTGCGGCTGTTATGTCAGTCCTTGTTAATGATCAGTCAGAGTGAAACTAGGGAGTGCCAGTTGTATTCTCCGACTCAACAAGGCATGATAGTAGCTGAAACTCAG